GAAGAGGTTGTTTAAAAGAGAGGAGACAGATAAGGAGATCGGAGGGGAGGGTTTTAATGAGTCTGTAGTCGATTCTGTCAAGGCCCGGACTAGAAGAAGATTTGACTGAACGAAGTGCAACTCGTAATTCCTCGAGTGAGAAGGCAACATCAAGCCAGGCAAGGCCTCCCGAGTAATGCTGTGCAATCTCAGGAGAAGGGGGAGGGCAGGAGGGGGGGCAGAGCTTATCTATGGCCATCTGAATCTCAGCAGAGATCTCAGGGCCTCCATTACAAGGAGTGGAGCCAGCAGGAAGAAGACGACGATTGCGGAAACGTTTAAGCATGCGCCAAATGTCGGCGGTTGGAGTTTTATGGTCAAAGGATGAACAAAATATCTTCCATTTATCACGCTTAGCTCTGCGAAGAATCTTACTCGTTTGGCAAACAACCGAACGATAGAATATGTAGTTGTCAAATGTAGGTTCGCGCCGGAAGGTACTGAGGGCGACACGCCGTTTGTTAATTGCCTCTGTGCACTCCGGCGTCCACCAGGGAGCCGGAGGTGGGCCCCTATGCATAAAGGGAGCGGAGGATGGTCGTGAACGGGGGGAAGGTTTAGACGAAGAAAAACGCTCATAGCTAGCAGCAATAAGTACAAAAAAGGTGTTATATTGTAAAATAGGATCGTCAGGGTTAATGTTATAAATGGCTTGAGAGATAGCCCCAGAATTATTTCGCAAACATTCCTTGACCTCTGCTCACTGAAACTCAGATAACTTGATTTTATGCGAGATGGAAGGCGTTCTAACTTTGCAGTTGATACTCACTTCAATCGGGAAGTGGTCGCTACCATGTAAATCTGTAAGAACACGAGCCTCGCAGATGGAGGAAACGTGAGGGGATGCCAGAGCGAGATCAATGGTAGAAGAGCTAAAAGAGGAAAATGAAATATAGGTAAGGGAGGTAGAGAGGTTAAGAATTATCAGAGGGCGCTCATCAATAAATTTGCTGAGTATGCGTCCGGCTGAATTGATACGCTTACCGCCCCACATTGGGTGATGTGCGTTGAAATCCCCGAGCAGAATGGAAGGGTTATGGTCCTTAACGAATGCAGTGAGGGAGGAAAATGTATTTGCAACCGTGGGTACGTTAGGGTGTCTGTATGCGGCTAATAGACATAGTTGAGTATTATTGAAGAAAAGCTTAACGCCAAGAACTTCGAGAGAGTTATCCATAATATAGGAGAGGTCGAGAGAGGAGTAAGCAATGGGGTTACGGATGAGGACTAACATGCCCCTGACATTGGTCAAGTTGGAATTGACACGAAGGCAATCAAACCCTCGAATACGAAAATCCTGTTGGGAGCCGAGACAAGTCTCAGCAAGAAACATGACATCGTACACTTCAGACAGTTTTTCAATTTCAGCCTTTTTGCCCATAGCGCCTCGACAGTTCCAAAAGAGGATACTAAGGGCACTTATATGAATTGTTATATGAATTGTTCATTATGATTTATGGGAGGTTAAAAGCGCTGAGAATATTACGCAGTACGGTGCAAAGGTTTGAGTTGAGCAAAGATTGTGACGAATTGGCAAGCAATTGAAGGACAAGAGAGATAATCGTCTGGATTCTTTGAGTGAGATCGTTCGGCTGAGGGTTGTCAGAGGGAAGAAAAGTAGAGGATTGTTGGGGAGGGGATGAGTGAGGGTAGGAGAGGGAGGGATAGTTTGGGAGGGAAAGGGATCCGGGAGAAGGGGGGAGGAAATAGGGTAATTAGGAAGTCTGCCATTAGGAGCAAGAAGCAGAGAATTATGAGCCTTCCTTATTTTGGTGTACGAATCAGAGGGAACACGCGGAATGATCCCACTTGATTCACATTGTGGATTCCCGACTGACCGGAGGCGGAAGCAGATAATTTACGAAAAGAATTCTCATGAGTAGCATAAGGGTGTGCACGCTTGTTCAAAGGGGGCCTGCTGGCCACAGCAGAATACGAAGGTCCGGAAGTATTGCGTTGCTCAGAAGGCGCATATGTGTTATCGGCCTTGTCCAAAGACAGAAGGTCCTCGTAGCTTACCATAGAACGTGAAGGGAGAGACGTACGGGAGGATTTAGAAACAGAGGGGAGAGAGGGGAAATCCGCGTGGTGGTAGATATTAGCAGGAGGGGGGGAAATATTAGGAGAGGAGTTTCCAAATTTGAGGCGAGCCTCAGCATAGGTTCTCAATAGTCGCATAAGCATAAATTTGTTTATGACGGATATATGTCGGGCATGACGGAGAAGAAGGGAGGTACTCCCCCTCACAGTTACAACAAATAGGGGGAAGGTGTACGCGAGGACAATCTTCAATATTAGGGTGCTTTGAGGAACCGCACCGCACAACGTGGCTTACCTTTGCAATCCGCACTAACGTGGCCGTACCTCAGGCAAGAGAAACACATCAAAACCCTGGGAAAATAGGGGAGGACCGGGAAATTGACATGCAGGTACTTAACTGAGCCTGGGAGGAGTTGACCGCGAAATTTAATTGAAATAGTCTGTGAAGGAGTGGTAATAAGCTCCCCTTCAGTGCGCGTTCGAAAATTTAAGCGCTTAACTGAACCTATTTTATAGGTGGAGATAAAGTTTCTGATAATATCCTCGTCAGAGACATCAAGAGGCACGTTCTTAATGATACCGGTGCGCAAGACGCGAAAAGCCGGAATAAATGCTGAGAGGCCGTTATCCTTGATAGCTATGTTTGAAAGGACGTTATTTGCAGCAGCGCGGTCACTAAAATGAACGGCAACTTTGTTACGGCCTGAGGATTTAACCTCTAAAATTTTATCGCTCGCAATTCGTGCAACAACGCGCGCCACGACACCGGATCGAGTCGGGCATCCCCGCCCTCGCCGGTGGGCAAACGTCTTATGAATATGATGAAAGGGGCAACGTCCCCCTCATCGTAGGTTATGTTCAAATTTTCCGGTACGCCGGACCGCGCGACGGGGGGGGACGGCGTTTCACCGGCCGGGGGGCCCCCGGCGCCCAGCACGCCCCGACACGAAAGCGCGCCCGGCGGGGAACCCCCAGCAACACCCGGAGACACCCCCGCAACTGAGGGATCGCGGTCAGACACGGCGATTCATTCGAAATGTCGCTGCTTGCAACGATATCGCAATCAAGGTCCATGGCATTGTCCTCGCTAGCCGAGGAAGTATTCTTCTCCATGTTAGCGGGAGAGAGAGAGCGAGAGCGAGAGCCGGCTCGGGACGGTATATCCGTCCCGCCGACCGGAGAGCGACTACACACGGTTTGCAAGATTTTTTCCTTTTTTAGTTTTTTCTTGCTAGGCTTACCGCTTGCTACGATTTTTACCTTGCCTGATGCAATAGGCCGCGATTTCTTATAAGATTCCACCGGCGGCGGCATTGACCTTGAATGCACGGAGGATTAAGGATCCTCATCATTACAATTCTGCACTTGAGTAAAGAATTTATTGAAATCGTCAAGAGAGGCAGAGAGGCGCTTGCTGACCGTATTCGAGCCCTCGCCGGGAACCGGCGGGGGTTTTTTTTTCAGCCGGCCCGCATTACGGGACTGGTGAGCCAATAACCTCGATATAACTCAAACAGGCAGATCTAAAAATACTCACAGAATGAGTGAGGAGAGATCCCCTTAGCAAGAACCCCAGGATACCGGGAACACGAGCAGGAGAAGCACAAGA